GGGCCGGGAGGGGTGTGTCAGGCGGCCGTGGGCAGCGCGCGGAACTGCGGCTCGGCGGAGCCCTGGCGGCCTGGCACTGCTCAGAGGCCGGGCGGGTTCGTAGTCCCGCGTGCCTGTGGGAGAAGAACGCTTCTCCCGGGCAGGGTGGGGAACTTGGGAGCGGGACGAGGTAGGAGAGGATCGCGCCTAATCTGTCCGGCGTTGACATTTTCTGCTTTGGGGACGCAGGAGTGTTTCCCTTGTTTAAGCTTCTGGAAACTAGCAAGCAGCCTGCTCCAGCTTTCTCCACCTGAGAGCAGTTGTTGATCCGTTTCCATCACAAGCACTTGTGAAGGAATCGTCAGCCTGTGCAGCAATGACCAGGACCTTGGTTCCCGCGTGGTTGTTGCTAGTGTCCCCCTCCCTCCCCGCGCTTTTCCTCGCCTTCCTTAAACTGGACGTCCTAAGCTTTTTGTGTCGGCCCCCTCCCCGCCCTTAAGGTTACAGCTGAGGGGAGAGGAAAGCGAGAAAGGTGGGGGTGGTGGGGTGGTGGGGTGACGTTCACAGTGATTGCCAGTTTCGGCGAATGCTCGCCAAGTCCCCATCCGCGCTAAAGCACCGAGCGATCTTTCCGTTTTTGTATCTTCAGGAGATAAAGGGTTTATTATTACACAACTGACTGGCTGAGGTTCCATGCACGCTATTGGACAAAGCAAACTGCGTTGAGGTTCATGCACCGTGTATGTTGCTAAGAAGTTTTGAGGGCAGCAAGTGGCAAACGAGGGAGAGTTGTTTCTCTCCAGATAGCAGAATAGCTCAAAATTCTTGGGAGTTTTCAGAAGAAAATGCATAATAAACAAGTTGATAGAGATTATTGTTTTTAAAATCTCCTTGTATCCGCTCTCAAAAGTGGCTGGAAGCTTGAAATTATATTTACAATGAAAAGTTCAACAGCAGTTAGGGCAGCCCCGCAATAGACGTGGAAAGTGTTTCTTTTCTAGACCACCCTGAAGTACAACTGCCTGGCTCCCTGTGTGAGAAGATTTGAGCAAATGGCCATTTGGGTGATAGTTTTTGACAGCTGCTTGCTGGAATCCCGAGTGCCCACACTCATTACTCGGCCTGCTGAAAAGCCTGCTTTGTGTGGCAACAGGATATAGCTGGGTTTCAATTAAGTTCCATAGCATCAGTGACACCAAATAAGACAGACTCCTTAGCGGTTTTGCTCAGACACACTCAATGAATGTGTCAGGGGGTTTGAACAGTGATTACACAAATTGAGATAGAAAAATTAATAAGTTATGCTCTGTGATTCAAGCAGGCCCCATGTAGGAAAGAAGCCTGTTCTTTAAACCCAGAATAGGGTGTGATCGTTAGCATTAGCAGAAAAAATTTTTCACATCTCCAAATGAATTCAAATTCTTTCAAATTTCTAACACATTGCTTTGCTCACAAGTTTTATAGCACATTGCTCACAACTTCTGAGAAGTTACATGTTGAATATGCTGCGGTATAATTTATCTTCTTCAATTTAGCGCTATCCTGATACTGCATCTGAAGAGAGTTTTTTTTAATGGATCATAACAAATTCATTTGCATTTCTGTGTATCCATGTGCTCATTTGTTTGACAAATATTTACCGAGCACCCCCTTTGTGCCAGGTGCTACTGTGGAACACAGCAGGGTATGACTTTATCATAGCATGGCAGCTAGCCAATGTGTGATCATGACACCTAGGATTTGTGCTGTGGCTACTCAGCTTTCACCAAGCCAAACTTCAGCCTCCTGAGGGGAGCCGGTGACCATGCCAGAGCTGGTTAAAGCAAAGAGATGGGGCTTGATTCAGTAACTGGTTTCTTAGTCTCCCCTCCTTTCCCATCTTTAGCAAGTCTAGCAGGTTATCAGTGCACAGATATTTATGACCTGCACTTTAAACATATTACAATTATAATTGTGTATGTAGAGTGTATGCTTGCAGTGGTATGCGTGGGGAAATCCGAGTCCTTCCTTCCCATCCACCTTTCTGCTTTCCAGAGCTCAAACTCAGGTTGTCCTGCTTGCACGGCCTGCATGCTTGTCCCCACCCTCTGGACCTCTCAACTAGTCTTACGACTTGCAGGAAAATACCTCTAAGACTTAATGTTTCCTCCTTCATGCTTAGGAACCACGTTTGTCTGACTTAGGAGCTGTGTCAGAAATTGCTCTGGAGCCGGTGGGTGGAAATTTACTATGGCTGTGTACTGCAGTGAGTACCGGAGTGCGGGAGGGCAGCCAGCGGTGGGGATGGCAGGCCAGCAGTTTGAAACAGCTGGTTCTTCTGCCCGGTGCATCCTCCTCACAGATGTAAATCAAATGCACTGAGTTCCTGAGCTGATCCTGCTGTGGTGCTTGGATCACGACTGAGGAAACCAAACCAAGGGAGTGGGGGTGGGAAAATAAAAAGACAAGGCTTGCCTGGCAGACCTGGGGTAACTGGGAGGGAAATGGTGCTAATTTCATTTAGATTCTAGAAAGAAAAGAGGAGACTTCTGGTGGGGGGAGCGACACCCTTCTTGGGAGGGGGTGTATGATCTTTAAGCAGAGACACGTTGTGCAGGATCCTCCCAAGATCCAAGGTCAGGAAATAGTGGTTGTAACTCTCAGGTGAGAAGCTGGGACTTGGCAGGATGGAGGTCCGCGTCCAAGGCAGGCCTGGGCCGGTGTAGAGAAAGGAGGCTCTTTGAGGATAGAGTGTGGTGTCTCTGGGAGGTTCATCAGGAAGAGCTTGCCAGGTGGGGGGGGGGGTGGAGACCCGCAGGGGGTGCTGGGAGAGCAGTGAGGTACTGTCGCTCATGCAGCCCTTGGAGCGCTGCTTGGCATTAGGGGCCGGCAGGAGTGGGCTCAAGACAGTGGACCAATTCAGCGTCCATTGTGAAGCTCATCCTGCCAGAGTGTTTGATGGCCTGGGTGAAGGAAGCAAAGAAAGGGAAGGCAAAGGATGGCTCTGAGCCCTTTGCTGAGACTGGGGGAACTGCAGGCCAGAGGGCTCTGTTAGGACGGATGAGGAGTGAGGTGATGGGAGTCTTGGAGGGGGAGGTTGCAGGCAGGCTGGTGCGCTTAGGATGAGGATCTGACGGGGAGGCCTGGGCTAGAAAGGGAATTTGAAAATCAGCAGCCCGTTGATGTCAGAGGCCATACTGCAGTCTCATAGAGCGGTACCTTGGGCCGGGCTCTGGATGCAACACCACTTCAGTGGGTTCTAGGATGAGCTGGTGGAGGTGGTCGAAGCAGCATCAGATGTGTAGAAAATGTAATGTTCAGAAACCAAGAGAAGAAATCGCTTCAAAAACCGAGGGACAAGTAGTAAGATGTGGAATACATACAAAGAGACATTCCTTTGTGCTGGGTAAAAGGAAACTTGGTGCTGTTTTTTTTAAAGGTTCATTCTTATGTGTCTGGATGCTTTGCCTGCATGTATATGTGTGGTCACCGTGTGTGTGCAGGGCCTTCGAGCCCAGAAGAGGATGTCATCTCCCTGAACTGGGGTTAGACGGTTGGGAGCCCTCATGTGGGTACGTGGATTGAAACGAGGACCTCTGAAAGAGCTGCCAGTGCTCTTAACCACTGAGCCATTTCTCAGCCCCCACCCGTTATTCCTGATAGAAGTTTGTGTTGTGGTCAGGTGAACTGAGCCTTGACGGCAAGGGGAGGCTGTTAGGGTGTGTGTGACGGCAAGGGGAGGCTGTTAGGGTGTGTGTAGAACTCTCGGGAGTAAGAAAGGTCTATTTTGTTTCTTACAGGTGAGGTGAAGTGAGCTCAGGACTAGTGAGGAGAATGAGACGCCACACCTGGTGGTTTTCTAGTGCTTTGAAACTTTGTTCCAGATTACTATACTTTTAACCCTCCTTGGATCCAGCCAAGTCTTCCATGAGCTAGGACTCCAGTTTCAGCCTGAATTTTACCTGTTGCCACGGATTAGATTAGATGGGCTGATTTCTCATTCGGAGTTTGGCCAAGAAAGAATTCCCTGCTAGGTGCAGAGTGAAGGGGTGGAATTCTTTTCCCTGAACGAGAAAGACGGAGGGCCCCAGCTTCTTGCTGACTGCACCTGAGTGCTTCGTCTTTCCTGGAGCTCGTTCCTCCATTGTCTCCTTCCTACAGTGTTTGTCACGTAGGCCTCCTCAGGACGGCCTCTTGTTTTATCAAACAAGCAAGGAGAATCTTGGGGCCACCAGTAGGTTATCGTCCATGGGCAGAGGTGAACTCCTCTCTTTGCCACATTGTCTTGGTTGGAAACAAGTTAACAGGTTGTGCCTAGTCTAAAAGGCAGAGATTATCCAAGTCCGTGGAGATGTGAGCATCCCTGGGCATCATCCCTGGGAAGTAAGAAAGGAACAGGAGCAGAGCAGGTGGGGGGGTGGGGTCACTGCAGAGGGAAAGCCCCTGGGAAGCTGTAGAGGATGGACCTGGAACCCAGGTGGAAGAACTGGAGCAGGTGGAGCAGGTGGAGGACCCTAGCGGAGGTCCAGTCTTTATATAGACGATGATGGTCAGGTGACTAGCGCATGCCGAGAGCCTCAGTCCTCCCGTGCAGAGATTGGAGCGGTGAGAGTGACCTGAGGTTGTGCTAAGGGCT